GAGTAGCAATAATTGACCGGATAAAACTCCTGGTCGTTCCGGTATAAAGACCCGATTTCTGCAGGAAATTTTTGGTTTTATTCGCCTCTTTGGCAGGCATGCCTTACTGCGTGAAAATTTCTTGAACATCTACCCCGCAGCGGTTCCCTTTTCTGTTGCTTAAGAGAGTCCCTTGGGTCAAGTGGATGGTAGACCGACTTCCAGTAGATGTCTGTGAAGATGGTTCCTAAGGTGGCATTCTAGCAGATATTGCTTAACCAGCATTTACTTATACTCCTTAGCTGGGAGCATAATTGTTTTGCTGTGTAAGTGATGAGACGTGACGGAGACGTTGATCGGAGCAGATCGATTATCAATTACTTTGTACTTTTGAGCCTACGTTTCTCAGCGCTTACTCCAGATGCTACCGACTAATGATTTACGGATTTTATTGCGTGTCTCTAGTAGCAATTGCAGTCGTATGGGGTGTGAAGGAGTACAGGCTGTTGAGTGTCATACCCAATAACTTGGGGTTGTTCATACAATTCAATTCGGTACTTGTTCGTACAGATGATGAATGTCTTAGCCGAGGGCTTCGCGGCTTTTAGGTGTAACTGTCGAGAAATGAAAAAGGTTAGGTTAGAATTTCGAACAAATATCGAGCAGTCATCGGCGTATGAGATCAAGGAAATACCTTTTGGGTGGGAGGGAATGCTCTTCAAAATATAAAAATCAAACAATAGCTGGAAGAGGACTCCACCCTCAGAACCCTTTGTTTAATTTTTCAGAATTTTCGAAGTTTTGCAATAGTAACACTGTATGTTTGATCATGTCAACGGCCTTTGATAGCTCCAGCGCTATCAGAACGCTTCACGAGCAAGGCCAATCTGCGACTGGGTATATCTGTGTGTTTATGATGATAAGTGCGGCTGTGGTGCTGTGCATTTCTCGGAACCCATGCTGATATGTTGATAGGCTCAAGTAGAGTCTCAAGTGTTTTCATTACTGGGAACAAGAGGGATATCAGCCGAAATGCTTCACCGTTTTTAGCTAGTTTCGCAGGTTTTAGTAGTGGGACGACACTGCTTTGTAACCACATGTCGGGTGTTGTGAGGGATCTCGGAGACAGATTGCAGACCTTGGTAAAAAAAACCTGAATCCAGATGGCAGGAATGATGGATTTTTAGATTTTTGCTAACCCTTTCCATCTCTTTTCTGGAGAGATTTTTGGAAATTTAAGCAAACGGCGAAGCGAAGTGAGTCAATCGAAAGGTGCAGTGTAAAAAGCCTCCTGCTATAATAGCTTGGGCAGTTTTTCCGTACATATTTATAAATCAAGAATAAAAACTCGGAGGCAGTTAAAAACTTCCGATGCAGCCTTACAGCCACTAAAGCTTTTAACATTTCCGAAACTGCTCTTTTGGCTTAGAATGCAATATTTGCCGTCAATATGACAATTAAACAAATTAACCCATTTATGATGTGCATATTATTGACGACAATACATTTCACGCTCTTGCTTCTCTGTTATTTACACATACGTACAAGCATATAAGTCTATGTAAACATTTCTCGGCAGATCATTTAGTGCAACAAATTGTCATGATTGTTTCAGTTATCTGTCAACTATTTGTTTAATATGGACGAATTTACTTTTGTATGTGAGATAGTGACGTATTTGAAAAATTGAAAAGCTCTTTGTATTAGAATTGAAAAAGATTACAAACGCGATCTGTCTGCTGTTTGGTGGCGCATGTCTCGCCTGGTTCAAAATTCAGGGAAAGAATTTCATAACCATTTTTTTCTATTCCGAAAAAAATTTACACACATCAAAAGAACGCTCTGGACTGCTTATTTTATTCGAAAGAACGAAGGGACTAAGCAGATAGCAGATAGCAGATAGCACTGGTGCGCCGCGTTGTGTGCCAGTTCGACTTTGACGTCTACGATGAATACATGGAGCTCTACGAAATTTGTCTCATAAGCAGCACTCTCACCTTTTTTCGGATTTGACCGCTTGCTGATTATAATTCCCATTTATTTTTTTAATAAAATTTGTGGAAACAAGAAGTTAGCAACACGGAAACTTTGTATCAATCAGGTCAGGTAGATTTTCTCTATATATGAAGAAGCGTGAACTCTGCAAATCAGCGGACTTCAACTCAACCTGCGTTTATGTTACCGAGTTAACGCTTCTTTATATATAGGGAAAATCAACCCGAGTAAGACGCCTTAACTCTAGGTGAAAAAGTGTTTACGCTGAAAGTTGAAATGAAGTATAAACGTAGTAATGGAAATGACGTTTTCTGCTTTGCTGTCAAATTTAGAAATGTCACGCAATGCAAAAAAGTCCCATCTGCCATCGGCATTCATTGTCATATTTAAAAATACAATTTTCTGCATATTTTTTATACTCAGCTGTACTATGTACTCAAATCATATAAGGTTTTTACAGCTAACGACGAATCGATTCAGACATATATATCTGTCCTTCCGTCTGTAACTAAGTAGGGATTGATTTATTTGGATGAGACTTGATTCGCACATTACTCATATCGAGCTATTGTAAATGGGCGAGATCGTATCAAGTTCACGTCCACCTTCGTAAAACGATAATTTTAAACGAAAAAGAAGTCAGAAATTTTAAATGAATCAGAATAATTCACTAACGAAATTTAGAATGAAAATCGTATTTATTAGGAACGAACACATTAAATGTAAAAAAATGTGCAGCGAAAAGCTTTAAAAGTATTCCATGCTGTACATGGTCGAAAAAATGGTGTTTCCAATTGGCTGACATTTTTTTTTTGTGCTCGTCAACTACCAGACTCATTCGCTGCGCTTCTTCCTTATGCCTGGAGAAAGCAGTGCCAATGGCGCGGTTGTTAAGACTTATGCTCAATATGATCGTGATAGTCCAGCAGCTGTACAGAGCCTGGAGCTTAATATATAATATACATTAATATCAGTCTGGTATATATTGTTCGCTTCCAACTGAACTAAGGTTTGCATACTTGTTTATTTTTAATTTTATATTAGAAATAATGTAAAAAGTGTAATAACTCATTAAAACAAAGATCATATCTATAAAATATGCATGCAATAAAATTTTAATTTTTACCACATTTACAATTTACTCCCTAATTTTGATTGAATTCATACATATGTACATATATATGTATCTTTGATTGCTCTACAGATTTTCTGAATGATGAAATTTCTGATGACTCCCGCTGTGCAATGCAAATATTCAATAGACACGGCTTTCAAGCTTGGCCCGGTTGGATGAATAAATGTCGCGGTCGTACACTACCGGACGTCTCGAGATGTTGAGCGTCGTAAATGCAGCACACGAATGAAGCTATACGAGTATAAGCTACGCTGAGAGCTCTGCTATCCAGTGCTGAGAGCAATTATGAATAATGACTGAACTGCCAAGTTTCAAAAGGATATCTAAAAGTGATGGTTGGAATTCATATGCATACATCTACACATACAAATATATATAAACATATACATATGTAATATGAGAATTAATGACTTTTTATACAAATGTTTTACTCTTAAGCATCATCATATGACAAACATACAAATCAACCATATATTATATATTAAAGGTTTTCGAATTTGCCATAAAAAATTTGCTTATAAATTTACAATATATCATACATACATACATTCAGACATACCTATGGCATTAAGTAAACATATAATTGTTGAGATAAATATAGGATTTAAACTATTTTTAAGTTTTATAAATTTGATTGTAAGTAGTGCAAATTGGCTTCAATAAATAATATTATATATTTATTTAATCCATTTCTCTTCGGAAGCTATTTATTTTACTATAAAGAGAGTTTTGCAGAAATCGAAACACATGGTAGTCCGTTGGGCTCGAGTGAGTGGCTGAATATGATTTTCCTAGTTAAGCTTCGTCAATTTTCGCCTGGTCCTTAATGATGCACGAGATCTGTGATTGTCAGTATGAAACACAACACCTTCTCTATTTATCAATGCTGACCATCATACACTCAGTATCACCTTATTTCGCGTCAATTCAGGTAATTCGATAAACGATTCATAGGCAACTCCCACATCATGCTTCTTTGAATGGCTATGCTTTTTTAAAGAGTCGTGTGAGGGATGCCTAATGCCTCCGCTATTAATTGACAGCTTTCATCTTCATTTTCCTTTATCGTTTTTCACTTTAAGATATGAGACAAAAATCAGGGGTTTTACAGAAACTGACACATAATTGCTTTTTTATCGGAAATGAAAATCAATATCTGATTGAAATGGTTGATTTTGCTTTTTTCGAAGATAAGCAAAACCGATATTCGAATCAGCTGCCATTACATTTGTGCAAAAAATCCAGCAACTCAATTTTTGTAATGGTATTAACACATTTGTGATTATTAAAAATAAAATAACACTGGCAGTGATAGAATTTTTGTTGATAAAGGGATTTGGAGAAATAATCCAGAAAATAAAGCTCAACATTGTAGGAAATAAGAACAATTCGCTGGAGCCGCCAGAGTCGATGAAAGTGCAATTTGCATTCTACTTTTACATTTTTGAATACAAATTTGTTTGTAAGTAGATTCACAGACTAATATCGCCTGAATAAAGAAGCCTTTGTAATAGTGGTGAATGCGATTGAAGACCAGTTAGATAGGCTGTCTATCTGACATGTGCTCCATGTGCTCATGTGCGATTTTGGGCAGAAGGCTCTTATTAACAGTCTGTGGGACTCAAATATCTCCTTAACACGACCTACAGTCTCTCTGGTCTGGCTAGAGGCTTTTGAACGTTTGAATTGTCCACGCTTGATAATGTATATTCTATACACGAAGCAGTCATCGCTCTCTCTCACTTAATCACATCAAAGTTATATATTTTCTCTCTTTCGCATTGAAGAGTTTTGTTTCTGTTGCAGGTCTCACTTAGTCTACCTCGTCAAAATCATATAATTCCTCTCCCTCTCTGGAGGGCTCCTGACCATTTTTACATCAAGTAACGTATTCTAGGCATTACTGGTTGTAAAATCCATTGTCCATGACTGAAATTTTTATTAAATTTCCACTTTCTGTCAACGAATAACCGATCGGTTTAGTTGTGACATTTAAAACCATAAATCGGTTTCTGTAACACCTAAAATCGACATAAATTCTGTTTCGAAAATGAAACCGATATGCAAATGTTTTAACAGAATTTTGACGGTTTTAATTCTGATTCCGACAACAATCTGTAACACCCCTGATTATATTATTATGAGAATATTGGCAGAATTTTGAAAAACCCCTTTTTTTGATTTTCTCATTTAGTTTTCTATAGACTTACATATACAATACGTAGGTAGTTTCGTGAATTTTTTAAAGTGGTACGCCATTTGAGAAAAAATCTTTCATGAAAATAGTGTCAAATCTTTCATAATTTCAATTGAAATGTGGTTAACTATTTTCTTTTTTGCTCTCGAATTCGTCTTCTAACTTTCAACAAAATTATAAGTTTCGTAAATTTTTGAAAACAATACGTCATATTGTCAAAAATCAAACAAACATTTTTTTGCAAATACGAACTCTTTCCATATCCTTTGTTCTAAACAATAAATGCTTCTTCTTTTCCCCGCAACTTGCTCACTTATAATTTGTATTTACTTTACAAAACTGGTTTTAGCAGGCCGAGGTAACAAAATTTACCTAGGCATTAAAATTTACCATTCAATAAATTTTGTTACCATTTCGTATTCTGTGCTCACTGTTACCCTGCAAATTTTGTTACCAGCGAAAGAGGAGGTAACAAAAATATCTGCTCTTTGATTTTGTGTTGTAAGTTTGAGAAAAAATATAAAAATCAAAATGGGTTGGCATAGTTTAGGCCTGGAATTCACTGAAGGTGAAGAAAAAAGTGCAAAAGGCGGTATTTTAGGAAGTTTTCGAGACTGAAAAATAGCACTTTAATTTGTAAGATAATGTTTTCATTCAGCTTTTTTTGTTGTCCAGGCATATTTTCCATAATTAGGTTCAAATATTTATGATTTAATAAACAAATTACTAAAACTTTTTAATTTTTTTGTGCACCGTCTTCCATTTCGATGTGAATATTTTTCTTTTTATTTTATCAACTGGCAATTGTAATTTGACATGGACGAAAAAAACAGTGCTGCCAAATATTTTTCAAACATTGCAATCAGTTCGCCAGAATACCAAATTCAATTTCGGGTGTTAAAGAAAAGTAACAAAATTTACTTTACCGGTAACAGTGAGAATAGACCTGTAGGTGTCAAAATATAAAAAGGTACGTTTGTGAAATATTTAAGCGAAAAGCGTAACAAATTATACCGAAGAGTGTCTGGTAATTAAATATCTAATGTATTTAAAAGAATAAATTATCTATAATTTTAGATGTTGGTCGAACCAACACTCGAATCCTGGCCCTCAGCATGGCAGCACGTAATGATAACCACTCGTATAAATAAATATATTTAGTTAAAAGTACAAATAAATATGTACTGTATTAACTGCATCACGGAATTTTGAAGATTCACTGAAATTTCCCAACAGTTTGATGTTTAACGAGAATTTTCATTGAGGTTTTTTCAGTGACCCATTGACAATAGTACCACTTTCTACTTTGTAAAACTACTAGTCCGGTCGGGTATTGTTTAAGCGATTTCAACTCAAGCTAAGTTAGTTATTTTGAGTTTCCAATTTAACGTTCTTTTGCAGGTCGAGTGTAAAATTAATGTCCTAATATAATGAACTATATAAAAACTATGTTGATTCCGATATGAATTACAAACATATTTGCGTACATGCACACACATACAACACATAATATGTATGTATATTTGTATTGCAGTTCAACGTAAATATTACTTATTCAGCACATTGCAAGTAATACATTTGTATGCAACATTTGTCGTCGATTTATTGTAAAATTTCCGTTTCATACTTTTACATATGTGTTGTCGTAAAAATTCTCCTTCTCTTATCAACTCGAATGATAAGCAAAATAGTGAAATGAAAAAAAAAATCTTATCTTAACGAAATTTTAAAATATTGTTTCAAAAGTTATAAGTAAAGTATTGAGCAATTTAATTAGCGCTTAAAACTCTAGCAGAAATATTAAGCAATTGTTTGAATGTCTCAGAAACATTATATGGGATAGAAGTGAACAAAATATTCATTATAAGCCCAAAAAAAATGATTCATGAATTTTTTGAGACTTCGCTAGACATTATTGTTTTGAGACCTCATTAAATGTTTGGGTTTTTCGAAACAATTGTCACCCACACTCTCTTCAGCAGTTTTAATTCCGCCTTATTTGCGCACATCTCTTTCTTCCCATTCAAACACATACATGTGTATGTATTTACGTAGATGGGTAGATGCGCGCACCGTTTTGCCAGGCGAGAGAGAACATTTTGAGTATAAAATATTTTAAAAGTTGTGTTTAGTCACAAGCTAATGAGAAATAATATGCTAATTACACTTGTATCATGCAATGGGTTTCTTCACGATAGATACACCCTACAACAGGCATATGCTGGAGGCTTAAGGTAAATATACATATTAGACGACAGCAATTGCGATAGCTTAAATGTACGTGGAGTACAAGAAATTAAGTTAACTCTGCGGTCGCCCTTCGGCAAACAATGTTAATCCCTTTGAAATAGATTTTTTCGCAGTTGGTCTTTTTCACAGCTGTTACTCAGTTAAGTTTCCCATTTCAAAATGAACAGACTTACTACGGTACAACGTCTGCAAGCCGTGTAATTTTAATACCAAAATAATAGTTCGTTACGCGCGACGCATCACACCCTGCGTCCAATATTCGGTCGACATATGTAGCATCCCAGGGATCGGTTTCCCACCACGTTTAATCTGGTTAATAATACGCATCTTCAGCGATGCTGTACACTGTGCAATGGAAAAAGTATTGAGGAAGACCTGAATGAATCCATCCGCCAAGACGCGCAACAACTGAAGCTGTGCCCATCAATTTATGGAAGGAAAAGAAAAGAAACGGAACTTGGTTCGCTGCATTACGAAATGCTACTCGTGCAATCATTGAATACGAATGACCCTCGAGCGCGTTGATGGTTCGGTGAATTGGTTCAAAACGGTGCACTCCTAACCCGATTTTCGCAAGAAAATTTTGTTCAGTGACGAAACTCACCTTCGGCCGAATGGGTGTGTTGTTGAACAAAACTGTCGCATTAGAAGTGATGATAAGCCATAATATTAATGTCAATGGGAAACGCCCTACAGCTATGATTAAAGACTTTTTCATGTCTGAATTGGAGGTTGTTGATATGAACGAGCTTTGGTTCTAACCAAATGGAGCTACATAATATCTTTTGTATTTTGTTTACATAATCATCGGTACTTTTATGACAGAATGAGCAGCTATCGGAATTGTTCACCCACTTAAAATTTTTTTTTGGTTTGTGGGATCCACTCGAGGTATTACACAGTCCTTAGCGCGAGCTTAGTCAACTGCTCCTCAAAAAAAAACTTGAGTTAAACGGTTTGCTAGACACAAACCTTTCTTTATAGAAACAGACCCTATTACCACTATTACTATTACACCCCGGTGTGAATTTCAAATACAAAAAGTTTTTTTGAAGTAATTATATCGTCGTCATGGTTAAAATTGCATACTATTATTCGGAAGGCCCGGGGTCAAGTCCTGGTTCGACGAACATTTAAAATTAAAGAAAATGAATTTTTCAAATTGCAGTCGCCCCTCAGCAGGGAATATCGGTCCCTTCGAGTGAAATAAAAGCTCCTCATAAAAACCATTAGCCTTTCGAAGGCGGCTTAGTATAAGCTGTAGGTTCCTCTATTTGTTGGAAAAACTTCAATAGGTAAGTTGGAGCGGTGCTCGGTCGAAAATCTCTTTAGCGGCCAATTATAAAATAATGGCGTCATTTAAAGGTGTTAAGGGGTGGAAGCATTGGCTTGAGTGTTATGCGGTAATGCAGAAAAAATTATTTAAAGAAGCCTTTTCTATGAATTTTTGATATATATTATGATAACTCTCTTTATAGGTGTTAAACTCCAGGCAAAGCTCAGTCGAAAATCATTGCAACGGTTATAAATATACTATTATACAAATATCTATAAGAATATATATAAAATAAAAATATATATACGCGTTTGTGCATATAAATTCCTGATAAGTATATTTTTGAAACCGTGCAGATATTCGCGTCTCAAGATTTTTCATTTTTCATATGATAAAATGATGAATTGATTAATTCGATTGAAAAGCTACTATTCTATAGCGTACTACACCTGTGTCCTATACCAGCAGGAATTAATAAACGAACGTACAAACATACCCACAAACACACACACACAGGTGTATACACGCGTACACGTTCTGGCACTTGACGCTCACAAAACGTAAACAGAGCAACCAGCGGGCCGCATTTGATATAAAAAAAAAAACAACAAAAACAAAAGACCAAAACATGTTCCGTTCACGGCTTAGTTACCGCCTTGGGATCATTAAGCGCACAACGCTTTAGTTAGTAGCAGCGCGAACGGATCGCTCGATTGCTACGAAAAGCTCGCTAGCTTGGTGCTTTCTTCAAAACAAAAGTATAATAACAAAAAAAAAAAAAAAAAAAAAATTAAAAATAAATAAATAAAAAAAAATAATTAAATAAAAAACACATTTTGTTGTTGGCTTAGTGCGAAGAAAAAAAAGCAAAAACAAACAATAAAACAGAAACTAATTAAAAGTGAACACGAAACTACAAAACATACTAAGCAAAACAACAATAAAAATTAGAGATAAAACTTAAATAAAATAAAAAACAAATTAAATTAAATTAATAAATCAGCATTAAGATCATTTGCATAATAAAGAATTTAAAATTGCACAAATGTTATTTGTGCATTACATATGTATGCATGTATATATGTATGCACACATATAAATGGTTTTAAGAAGAATTTTACATTAATTCATATGCCAATGTGCTTATGTGCATATGTATATGTATGTTTGTAAACGCCACGCGTCTAAGTGTAAACTTGAAATTGTGATAGTTTGTGCAAACTAACATTTTGTGCTTTTCCGCTAATATATATATGCAAATACAAATATTGATTTGGTGTATTGAAAAAGAAGAAAAGAACGCGAAAGAAGCTGTGTGTATGTATTTATGTATGTATTTCTGTCTTTTTGTACACGTGATATATTCGAGCTTCAATAATAAGTAATCACTTTCACCTATCCCTAGCAGATAACGCACAAACACATAGGGTTATCCATTTCGTGGTGCCAAAAGTACAGGGCTTTATTTGGATAGCTGCCCAACTTAACTTTCAGAGCGTACAATTTTTGTTTTAGCCAAAACCCAGACATTTATGAATTACGAATAATTTAACAACCACACAATGGGTTAAATTTGTTAGTTAGTTTAATAGGTTGCTTGTTCACGAAACCCTGATCAAGCGGACTAACGCCTATCGGCCCGTAGTTAACCAATGTTTGTCGTAATAAAGGAAATCCTTTCCACCTTTGAAGAACTTCAGGGGATTAATGCTGCCTAGAGTGGCGACCTCTCCAGGTAATCGAAGAAGAAATTTCCGAGAAAACTGTAATAGAGTAATAGTAATTTTTCCACCGACTCCTCCTCATCTATGTCTCTACAGCTGCGACAGAAGTCGTTTAAGAAGCAACTCATCCTTTTACCATGAGTCCGCACAGTGCCCGGTTATTTCGCCGCTTGTTATTCTTATACATATCCGGTTAAAAAGGATTAGAGCTTTAGTTCTCGATTTATCTCGATAAATGGCCAGATTTGTCTTTTTACATTGCACTTGGTTTCGCTTTGCCAACTGCTATTGGGCTTTCTGACGAAGTCTAGTCTTTGCAGAGACTTTGCTGAGGAAAGCGGTATGCCCACGTTACGTGCAGAATTTGCCGTAGTTAGCACTGTTTCCTCTCTGGAGAGTCGGCTACGCAGTTCTTTGAGATTTCCCTCTGACTAGAGACCTAAACCACGTTTCGTATACAGTCGAAAGTTTTCTTAAGATATCTCTGCATTTTAGTACCACCTTTCAAGGGTTATGTGGAGACTTAAGGGCGGCCTGGCTGTCAAAATATATTGTGATAGGCTGGGTAAACGTACTAGAAAAGAGCAAAAGTTAAATAAAATCTTGGAACGTTAAATATGTGTTTTAATAGAAGATTATGGTGGACATAATCGTCCAACTACTCAAGTAATCGATAAAATTTTAAAGAAATTGTAAGACGCCGTATTGTTTATAGATATTGTGAAGCATGTTCATTATCAATTTTCTCGTTCCACCACAAATAGCGCGACTGAAGTGAAAGTGTAGCCGAAGACCCGAGTGTGTCTATTTCTCGCTGTTCTCAGGACCTGGGATTTCCTTACGGCACGCTGGGTCGTATTTTGCACTTGGACATACACTTACACCCATATAGAATCTAGCTCACATAACCACTAAAGCCATTCACAATCACACACACGACACAAATTTCTTCAGCAACGAATCCCTTTTCTCACTCGGGGGATACGTAAATAAGCAAGAGGGTAGCACTTGGGGTTCCGAGAATTCTTAAATATTAAAAAAAAAATACTGTCCTATTTTCTTAAAATGGACAATGGCAAGACTGTCACCGCCCATTCCGAGCATTTTGGTCGTATGATAAACGACTTTCATTGGCCTGTAATTGCAAAACAAGACTTGGCCGTGTAATCTAGCGTCTTGGCGATCCCAATTGGCCGCCGAGGTAATAAGATTTGATAGGGTTAAATTTTTTCCTAGTCCGTGTGAATGACCGTGTTTATTCGGATAAACCGTTAAATCTTGTGTTCTTGAAAAACAACATTCGTCAGGTTATGGCTGTGATACCGCCGAACATAGGCCGAAAAGTGTTCGAAAATTACCTTAAATGGTTCGAAGTTTGTTAAAATTCACGAGGCTTTCATTTGAATGATGTAATGTTTCACATATAAAGCCAAACTTTATAATATAAAAATAATTTCACAAACAAAAAAATATTTTAAATGTTCTTATTTCCATTTTTTTCGAAATCGCAAATCACAAAATGGATAACCCTCTATATACAGACAAACATATGTACACACATTCATTTGATAAGAGATACACAGTGCACATACACACATGCGCACATACACATATATATACAGTTGTGTGCAAATAATTAACAACGACTTGTTCCTATACATTATATGACCTTTTCTGTGAAAATCTTTAGTGTTAAAATGGAAAATTATTTTTAATTTTCTTCTATGAAAATATGGTCAGATTTAGTTATGAAAAAAATTTGAAGAAATTCCGTTATTTTGAAAGAGTTAATGCATTTTTTCAAAAGTAAGGAAAACTGTCGTGCTTAAGACTTCTTATAAATTACTTGTGTTTAGGTTAATATTTCTTTATGTTTTTATTAAAATTTATTATTTATTAATTAAATAATTTTAGTAAAAAAATGGGTAATCGCAAATTTTGTGGTGAGGCTACTAGGGCTGTTATCATACAGATGCACAAGGACATTGCACAGAGACATTCCAAGGGCCGTAAATATTTCCGTACGGCTTTTAATGTTGTTAAGTATTTCAACAGGAATAAAATAACAAAACAAGTTCAAAGAAAGAAGAGAGGTTCGAAAATGAAACTACGGTAGGACCAGTCAATTATCCGTGAGTCAATTCTAGTTACGATTTTGGAGGAAATCCTAATGCACCAACTGTAAATACCGTAAAAAGTCGATTACCCGAGGCTTAACTCTTTGGAAGAGTTTCAAGGTAGAACGTAATCGAAGAAGTTGCTTAAAGTTTACAAAGAAATACCGCCATTGAACAGCAAACGAGTGAAAAAGAGTACTGTTTTCTGATTAAACTAAGATAAATAGGGTTTCTTCAGGTGGGAAAACTTATGTCCGCAGGCATTGATGTAAGAGTTGGGCTCAAAATACACCAAGCCAAGATTAAAACATGGTGGAGGATGATTTGGGGTGCCATGTCGTGGTGCAATAAAGTTGGAAATCCCATAAAGTTGAAAATAGAATGGATTCCAAAGGACATAGGCAAAAGTTTAGCGGAGTCAATGTCTCGTAGATGTCAATCCGTAATTGACAGTAAAGGACTTGCAACATAGACAGCGTTGCTAATTAGTTGCACGCATCTGTATATTCTATTTTGAGCCGGTTAAAGGAGTTTCAGAGATTAGAATTCAAAATAAATATTAATTAATACATACTACCTACATACATATTTGTTTGTATATAGGTATATATGTACAACAGTACGTACCTAACTTTTGTATGCAAAAGTGATTTATTAAATTTATAACTTTATCTTTTGTTTTTGTTTACCTTTTGTTATGTTGCGTTTAACCTTGACTTTTTTATGTTTGTTAATTTCTTTTTGTTTTTACTTATTTTCATGTATCTATTTAAACACCTCGAGTAAGCAATGGAATGAATAAAATGTTTGTTGACTAATTAATATACGCACATGTACATACATATGGGCATATAGTAATTTGGCTAATCAAGAAAACCCGTCAGTCACCTTATAATTTCGTGATTTGCCTACAAAACCGTTAACACGTTATAATTTGTGGGGGGTTTCGGCTTACAACATACATGCATACATATGTATATATATTCAATGTGTTCAATTAATGTAATATCTACGTGAGATTGTCATTTATATGTGGGCCTGCGAATTAGTCATTTTGGGGGTGGACTCTGTACAAAAATAATATTTATATTTATTCTTCTTTCTTTAAGAATATTTTATGTACGAATTTCTTAGTCGAAAATTTTGATTTTTTTTAATTACATGGGATTTTGATATATGTACTGTCATGTTATGGCTCTAGAAAAAACTAGTCATTATGCATTTGGTTTATGAGGAATTAAGTAAACCGCAATTATTAATCCAAGAACTAACTCATTTTCAGAATTATGCGATAAAGGAAATTCATAACAATTTTCAGATTTTCTTTAATATTCTTAAGAAACTGAGGAAAAGTTTTTTTCTATTTTGTGTGGTATATATATAAGGGGGAGTTCATTTGTTAAATTTGACTTTAAAATTAATATGAAAAACAGAAATGTTTTTAAATATCTCAGAAATAATTCATTGATTTTTATAACCGCAACTGGTCCAGCGACAGACCATTCTGCTTTATCCTTAGACCGAATTTTTCAACACATTTTCGATTAAGTGACCCTATTTGGCTACAATAGTTACTTCAATTTCACTTTTAAAGTCGTGAATCGTCTCTGTAAGGTTGATACAGGACTTCTCTTTGTGCGATTTATGCTTTGATTTTTGATTTTATGCGATTTTCGAACAGTGATCAAAAAAATCGGTTATCACGTTGGCTCTGTAACACGCAGTGCTGTCCTTTTGAAACCGCACTTCATTAAAATAGTTCTCTTCAATCTTTCGGTACATTTAATCTATGAATTTAGCATGGTAACGAGCGGCATGATGGCAATGGCCGCTCCTTTCTCGTTTTCAAAGAAAAACGAATCAATGATGCAGCTGGTCCCCAGTTTGCACATGAAGTGATCTATAGCCTATTGAAGTGATATCGCTTCATATGTCCATGAAACTTCGAAACGAGACTTTTATACAAAATCATGCGCAAAGTAGGACGAGAAATGTTTAATTGCTGCAAACTTTGCCATGAAAGTGTTCGATCTTAGTTCGAGCAAGGCCAGCAGTGTTTTAGTCTAAACGCACGGGATGTTCTCGTACAAGAGTTGCTTATCCGATAACGAGTTGGTTTGATGAAGTAAGTCATTCTTCTCCTACAAACCAAATCAATGATCTGTTCATCCTGGTATGAAGTCGGCACCCTGCAGAACTCCCACGTGATCTACACTAATATTGATACTGGCAGTTGGTTTTTTCAGTGTCCTCTATGAGACGAAACGTAAAGGGCGAATGTTCTTTGTTCGAAGCACTCCTCGACTTTTGGGTCGAAGAAGAAAGGCAGGTCAGAAATGTTTATAATGAATGGAATTGAGTAAGGTTTCTCTTGTTGCGGTTAAAACAAATATTATTTTTTTATTTGCCATCGCTCCTTGGCGAATATGTCAGCGCCTCCGGGTGTATTTCTGACATGAAATAAATCGCCCCTCGTAAAAACAAACAGCGGTTCTCAAACTTTTTCGCCGAGTCATCAACTACCTAGATCCAAACCAGTAGATGGATTCCATTTTTTTGCTCACCTGGCATGGTGGAACATGTTGATCCGAACATTAGAACTACTTAAGATCCTTTTAAACATATGTCAGTCAATAAACCTTTAAAGTTCTCAACAAAAACGAGGTTAGACTAAATGGCCCGAGGTACCTTGAAAAAATTACCTCTCCAAAGCTTCATAAGAGTCATAATTGAAAAAAAAAGAAGAGATGCTTCTTGATATTAATTATTTTGGTATGAGGTATTCCTAGGAATTTACACAGAAATTTATGATCCTCAATAATAACACCCCAGTAGGAAATTTGACTACTCGCTCTCGCATTATATCCGCATAACACTTATTTTAAAGTGGTATTCTCGATCTTGTTCAAAATACTATATAAATATATATATTTGTGGAAAATTCTTTCAAGTTATGTTATACATTGATTAATTGTAAAATTTATTGGGCAGTTTTCTAACGGAGGCGGCTTATTATAAAATATAGATCCACTTTGTTGGATGACGCAAGATGCAAATTGGAGGAGGAGCTCAGCCAAAAATCTCTTCAGCGGTTACAAGGCGCCAGTTATATACATATATAAATGTATATATATTTAATGTAAACGAATGCAAACATTTTTATTTATATTTAGAAAACTTTTATAAGAAGTTTTCCATTAATGAATTGTATGAGCAAAAATCATAGTTTCAGATTTTTTCAGCTTTCTTAAAAGATAGTAGATGAGAGATCGACTTTAGAGATATATACCTGCTGTTGAGCATTCAATGTGGGAAGAACTCTCACAATTCGCTTCTATAATTTTTTTACTTCACGTAAAGATACAAACTTGGCCGAAATAATATTAAAAATATGTATATAATAAGTAATCAGAGTTCAGGTGGCCGGAATTTTAGTATCGACGTAATATCCGTAAACCCATATTTCTCTACCTATTGCAATACTTTTCAAGTAGTCTGTATCATCTTTCTTCATAAATATCTTTCATTCACAAAATAAAAATATTTTGGAACAAATTTTTCCGCCACACGTTTCATACCCAAAACAACAGAAAATATGGCCTGACACGATTCAATCGATATGCCAAAGTCATTGGCGACTTTTCTAATTGAGATTCAGCGTTTATTATAACCCATTATTTAATTTTTTCCCCCTTTTTATGGAAGGTTGATGTGTTGGGTACACTAAGAGGCTCGTCATCTTCAAAACCTTCATGACCTTTTTGAAAAACCGTACACCTGAGGCCATAAAAAAACATGTAACCAGTCAGTAAGGCTCCCAGACAAAGTCGGACACGAAAACACCTGATTTACCACCCGTCAAGGTCATGCATTCCAACATCATAAGAAAGTTATTTTTGAACACATTACATATGCACAATGACACTAAACTAACGTCAAATAAATTAAACTAACTCACACTTTAGTGTCTTATGAACCGGGTCAATATTTTCTTGCAGATACCTGAAAATGGCTCGCTACAATTTCCTATTAGCCTCACTGCTGCTGAGCTGTCTTCTATGGAGTGCGCAAGTGGACGGTAAGGAGTACATGCGTTGTCAATTAGCGCGAGAACTTTTACAAAAATATAACATCAACAAAACTTTTCTCTCAAATTGTGAGTACATGAGTGCTAGTGATAAAAGAGAGCAACAGTTTTATTGTACTATTAAATTTTTACACTCATTTTCCATCAGGGATTTGTCTGATTGAGCACGAGAGCAATCGGGATACGAAAGTGGTAAAGCGCAATCCAAATGGTTTCGCCAGTTATGGTCTCTTTCAAATAAGCAGCAAAGAGTGGTGTCGCGTTAGTCGCAAAGGTGGCATATGCGATAAGAAATGTGAAGGTACAGAGCCCTTGATTGTCTATTATTCCTGAATTAAGATCTTTTTTTGTTTTAATTTACAGACTTCCTCGACGACAACATTGATGATGATGTACAGTGTGCGAAGCGTATCTTTGAGCGTGTGGGTTTCAAAAATTGGCCCGGTTGGACTGCATCCTGTCGTAATACGCAGAATCTACCTAATCTCGGTTTGGCATGCAACATACAGACAGTGAGAGCAACTCGTACATTGGACAATATATCGAAGTCTAATTATTACCTTATGTTTAATATTAAATAGGTGTAAACGTTAGAGGATAACAGAGTGGAGTTTAGTGATAAAATTTTAGAAAAACAACAAAAGTACTTCAACAAAGAGCCGCACAATATGTAAGTGCGTGTGCACTTGCAGTTGTACGAGACATTGGCAACGCTACTTACTTTGAAAATAAAAGCTTTTAAAACCGTGAAAAGAAAAAAAATTAGAGATTTTAGTACTTAATGATTTTAGAATATACGATTTCATTTTAATTATTCTATAACTTTTGAAAATAGATTTAAGTATTTAGAGTACACAGACAATGTTGGATCTTCTTGAGATACCCTAATACTTTGGCCAGTTATCTTTAAGCGCAAAAGTAAGACTCAACTTGTTCTATGCACAATTTTCTGCGGGAAATCTGAGGCCGATGTATAACTGGTGTGTAACAAGGTAGATATACCGGCGGGTTATTTGTGTTAAGGTGCCCTTCGGTATAGCTCCTTTTAATTTGTTTAATTTGAACCTAAAATTGAAGGGAGCTGAAAGTAAAACCATCCCAAAGGTAAGAGATGCTTACTCTCGGAGGTGCATGTTGGCGTCTTGACTTGAAATCTACTTCACGTATCAGTACGAACTGATAAAAGCTCAGTCCCATTTCATTCCAGTTCTGGACGATGACGACATCTGATTAGTAGGCGTGGGAATTTTTGGGAAAAACGTGTTCCGAACGCTTTATGGTCCTGTGAGTATGGACGCCGATGATAGAACTGTATGAGAAATACAATTTGTACTTGCTGAAGTGATGTTTTCACGAGCTCCTCCTCCAATTTGTGGTACAGACTTTTATTTCAAGTCAGAAATACACTCGGAAGGCTTGGCTTTCCCTGCCGAGGGGCAACCGCAATTAGAATAAATAACTCTCTATAATTTTGAAAGATGGTTAAACAAGGACTCGTGCCCGGGTCTTCAGAATAGCAGTCCGCAATAATAACCACTCAGCTATGCCGGCCTATGAGAATGAGAAATATGTTTACATTGAAACGAGCATAGTTAAGTGAATTAAGAGACAGCAGCTAACCATGTCGAGCTCATGGCCGACAATGCTCCAGCTTTGAAGGTTTTTGATCCAGTAACCGCTGTGAGAATCAAAAAAAAAGGAAGATCTCCGCTCCTTTGAAAGGTTCAGGCGGAAATAACTTTAATTCACATAGCGTTTCCTAACAGCGTTAGCCGTGTTTACATCAATAAAGAAGAAGAAGGAAAAAGAAAAGATCTAGTCTTATATGAGTAAAAAAGATCACTCTCCTATAGAAACAATACAGACCGTCTTGTCACTGACGCTAAAGGTTAAACTAGAGTAGCCATAGTCAATATTGATCCTATAACAAAAACGCCGTTGTCAAAATCATAGCCAATGCTGCCAACCGGATATTCGTTTTTCGATACCAACAGTTGATTTATTTATTTTGTTTGCTCTCTTGCTGCTTTGGGTTTTAGGAGTTTTATGTTTTTCTTTGCTATGCCAAAAGTTATTTTTACATAAAAACATACAGAATTTAGTACAGTGGTGAGGGTGCCACTGCAAGCAATTCCTTATCGTCCATAACCTTTATTTTGCTTTTTTATAACTTTCCAATGGAAATTGAAATTGTTGTGCAGAGTTAAATGCTCGCAATTTGGATTTGAGATAATGACTAACTACTTGAACACAAGTTCCAATGGAATGATTGAAAGAAGAAAAGTGTTAGCTAGAGTTGCCATATTTTTATTATTTTACTTTAGAAATGACAAAGAAATCAGCTTATAATGGTTATAAATATTACCAATAATCGATGAAATTAAATGTAGTTAATATGGTTATAGTGGTGAATATAGTATGGTTACGATTATGGTTACACACATGGTTTTATGGTACAGACACATCTTCAAATTAGCCTTAAGCCTTAAAAAAAAAAACGAAGATGACGAACCCAGGTCCCAATTAGTTACTGCTATGAACTACGAAGTTTATAAAGCCAACGAAAGCTTCAAGAAAATCAAAGCTACCTAAGCCGTCAATTGCAATTGAATTCAAAGGGGAACTCAAAATCTATGACATTTATTGTAAGACTAATGTAATCTTTTGACATGAAACTGAAGCTCCTCATAAAATAGCATCAGCTGCTTGGAAGGGTTTTCATTTGTTGGAAATCATGGAAAGGCATACCAGAAATTGAAGGAGGAGCTTGGCCGAAAATCGCTTTAGCGGTTATTTAGCGCTAATTATATATATATAGGGTCCGCCACGTAACTTTTTTTTTTAAATGTAATAAAACAAATGCCCATTCGGCAAAGGCAAACCGCATCGGATGGTCCCGTGGCTTCAATTCTTGAACCAATTGAACTTTGTACGGTGTCATACCAAGGTCTTTTTTCAAAATTCGCTTAAGGAACGTCTCGGAAATGTCCAATTGTTGAGAGCGACGCTTCACTGATGTTCCGGGCGCCTCACGCACACTCTCGGCCACAGCAGCGATATTACGCAGTACGCAATTTTTTTGGTTTCTCACGCGTTGGTTTATCAATAATTGTGCCGGTTCCTCTCAATTTTTTTCAAAAGAAAGCGCACATACGGAGCGGACGGTGCTTTTTACGGCTCATTTCCGTGCGTAATTTTCGCACACATTCTGCAACATTACCATAATTTTCAAAGTAAAACTGCACTATTTTAACGCTTTCCTCAATCGTATAAACAACCATTTTCGTTCAGCGGAAGGATAAAACTAACTTTCTGTCAAATCAGATGTAAGATCAGTGTTACCACACTCAAAATAACCACTAGTTCAAAAAAAATATGTTAGATGGCGGACCCTATATACAAATAATCTGCCAAAATTAAATTCCTTTGACCGTAAAACTTTCAAATACAGCGTTGACAAGAGAAGTCAAAGTTGCGCTAAGGCTTAAAATTCAACCTGAATATTGGCAATCCAGAAGAAGTAGGTAACTGTAAATTATGTGCTCTCTCGACGAACAAAAACCACTCTCTTAGCGCCTCTCAACACAAACATTCTAATTTAAAATGTAGGGGCTTTAGATATAACGATTTTAAGGAAGTTTTTTGGTTATATGTGGCCTAACGGTGGCTTAAGGGAATTTTTTTTGAATGTAAATTGCTAGAAAATATTCTTAAAAATAATGTAGAATGAGTCCCGAAGGTCCGCAAGACCAAGAAGTATAGAAGAGGGGAGATCGGAGCGCACCAAGCGGTAAATCTGGCCGCTCGAGTACTTTAATCGCCTTTAACAAAAAAAAAAAAAAAGAATTGGCATTTCTTCAAGCCGATTTCGAACGTCTGAAAAATTTTATGAAGAACCTAATGTCTGAAATATACTCGCCGGAAGTGACATTCAACTGTTGCGAGTAAAGAGACATCGGCTTCGCTGGGTACGAATGCAAACAAACACTTTCAACTGTGAGGGTTTTGCGGAAAACATCAGCTGATGTAAGCAGAGGAATGCAATGCAAGACCTTATGTCCGTTGGAAAACTAAATGCAATGCCACCAAAAGGAAAATTCGGCGTACTTAGTAATTCGGTTGTAATCGCATAAACGATGCACATGTCTAAAAAGGACTCTCTCATTTGAAATTGTTGAATCTTACAAAATGATAGCCGCTTAAACACTCTTTAACCCCTTATGTAGCTTGTTATACACATACCTACATATATGTATGTAGCAAATGTGAAATATTTATGTACATCTTTATATTAGAACTAGTTATTTGTCGTTCTTTCCAGTGCTATCGCTTGCCGCAAACCGTTATCGCTCAAACGTTTGAACTTCTGCCGCTTAAAATGGCCTCCAAAGAAATCGGCAACTTAAAATGTTTTTGTTTCATATTATCTTATGAACAACTTTATAGGCGGGTAGGTATGATATCTTCGCGCAACTGCTCATTATTGGCAATGCACTGTAAGGCAGTAGTAGCAGCAACAGCAGCAGAAGAAGAAGAAGCAATGTATGCTTCATTGAATTTTAGTGTTTAAAGTATCATCCAAAATCTTCGATTAACTATTGAAGTTGTGGATGCTGTTGTTATTGTTGTGCTTTAGCTGTTAGCATAGCAAACGCCAATGATAATTGGATATAATGAAGACAAAGCAAAGCGATAGTTGGAAGCACAAAGTGCACAAAGTAAATTGTGCGAAAACCGAAAGTGTTAATGGTGTGATTTTTTTTCTTTTTTTTTAAGCAATTTGTAGTAAATTTTCAAAGATGTAGTTAAAAAACAATAAATCTGTTTGAAATCACACCGAAATTGCAGTCTGTGGATAGAAATAAATTAAGAAATTTCAAGCAGTTGGTGTATTGGCTCTAATTTCTACAGTTCGTATAGGGTTAAAAATATTTGAAATCTTCTAATTATTGTATGGTCTCACCCAGCGAAACTCTATATTTCCACAGAAACTCATTGGAGCTGTAGAGCTCCCAGCATGTGATCTCTTTGATATGACTACCTCGACGAAGGAATAGTACTGAGGAACTTGTCACTAGTTAATACCAAAACGAAGGGCTCTTATAGGAGAACCGTATCTAGTCATTATAGCACTGTTGTTGTTCGCTGGAATTTAGAAAAAAGTAGTGTTTCCAAGTGAAACTGACAGATAAATGAATTATTTGCGAATGCAGAGTTTTTGAGCTTACACAAAGAATGTTCGAAATTGAAAAGCAGCAATCGCAACAGACTGACGAGCGGTTTTCTACTCGGCTTTAACTCCTGCTCAGCAACTATGGGACGGCTGAATTTATGGAGGGAACACTTCGCCAGCCTGCTGAATTGCAATGAAAATGTAAAACCAGGAGTTGGTGAACCCGAAATCCCAATCGAAGACTATGAAAAAAACGTGCCATTACCCGACTAAGGCGAAATTCGAATAGCGATTTCCCGCCAAAAGTACTACAAAGCAGCTGGAGCAGACGGCATACATGGCGAAAAAGAGCTGATAAGGTGCATGCATAAGCTTCTTTTCAAAATATGGTCGAATGAATTTTCGTCGAACGATTAGGTGCCCTAAGTGTGCTCTGCACAATCTACTTGGACGATCCCACTATCCGCGCTAATTACTTTGGGACAAGCCTCCTAAATACCGCATTTAAGGTCCTAGTGAGCGTATTGTGATTGAACCTTATCAGTGTGGCTTTAGATCTGGTAAGTGCAACCAAATATTCACCATGCGCCAAAA